TTTTAAATTAAATTTTATTATTAAAACAACTCCCAAAATCCATCAACAACATGGAGAGAGTGGGGAATTTAGTAAATGGACAGGTTTATTATATGGCACTCTTTTCTAAAGCCTGAATGCTTTCTGTCTAACATTCACTCTCCAGTGAACAATGAATATATTTATATATGAGCCTTGTTTGGAATAAATGCTAGCTAACTAAGTGTTGCTTGTGGATTTTATCTTCAAACATTTTAAGCTGTATTCTGCCAAATATCTTTTAAAATTCATTTTGTTTGTGCTGCTCAATTCCTGGACAAACAACGTGGACAAACAAATCCCCTTCAGCCTGACCTGAGCTGGGTCTGGCCTCTACACAAAATGCAGTTCAAAGACTCCAAAGAAAAGTTTTTTGTTTTGAGTTTGGGAACAGGATCGGTTGTGTTTAGATTCAGTTTCTTGTCTCCTCGAGTAAATCAGAATCATTCACTCAACTTTCCTGGAGGTGGTCCCTCTTTTGTTGTGGATCTGATAATTGTTCCCCAAACAATGGAGGAAGGAGTGAGGTGTGTGAATGGTGGGTGGAGAAGGATGGAGAGGAGGGATGGAGAGAGACTGAAGGGCTGGAGGAGAGGAAAGTGGAGCCAAGGAGGTGGAGCGAGATTAGGGTGAGAGGCAAGACTTTAGCCAGCTTCCTCTGTGGAAAGAAGGAAACAAGAAGAGCACAGACGAACAACACAAGAAAGACAACTCTGGAATGAATCAACATGTTAAAATTGACTAATAACAATGAAAAATAACTTATATACGATTAAATTAGTGGACAGTCTGTTACATTTTGAAAATGAGCACTTGGAATGGCTTAATACAGATTTATTAAATGATACAGCATATAAACAGCATATATACATAGCCCTCTGAATTCATTCAGCAAACATGAAACAACATGTTACAATGTAATTGGTGAGAGTTCTGTCCTGTTATGAATTAATGGACCTGGTGAAACCCATCTTTGCTATTTGGTATCAAAATAAAAAATACAAATCATAAATGAATAAAACAGCAAACAGTCTAAGTGTAGTTGTCTGTCTTCAGTGGGAAACAAAGGATTTAGAGCTGCAAGACAGAAAGACTAGCTTCTTTAGAGATGGAAAAATGTTGTTAGTTTCAGTGTTTTGATGCAATTTGTTGACAATAAGTGCAAAATGCTGTCTGTTCCATCCTTTAATTTCCCTTTCTGCAGAAATCCTGCATCTTTAAGCATACAAGGGCTTGCCACTTCTGAGTGAAGGCATGCTGGCAGCTGAAATAATGTTAGGTCATGGCCAGTCATGCCCACTAAGTTTTCTGGCATCCTGGTTCTGATAGGTAACCTGCCAACATGAGTCATGAGTCATGAGCCAGCATACTCCGAGTGCCAGTCCCACGCCCAACTGGGAGGGTTGTATTAAAAAAAAAAAATCAAATTCTTTCCCTGATCAAATACGAGGATAATCAGGAAGAGTATAAGAGAAGGATAGTTGAAGTTGAACGGTTTTGAAGAGAGGCAAGGTTGCCGTGGTTTGGACATGGGGGAAGAGTGGATATATTGGACAAAATTCATGCAAGAGAAGTGAAGTGGATGGTGTGACAGAAGATGATGATAGGAACAGGGGGAGGTACATGATCTGCTGTGGGGACTCCTAAAGTGAGCAGCTGAAAGAAGAAGAGCTTGAAGGTCCTTGAGCAGATGGGAGAATAGCTCCTCCAAACATTTTCAAACTCTGAGCACTCTGAACGGAGCTGAGTTCTTAGCTCTTCAGCAAAAACCCAACAACATCACTTTTCCTTTATTTTTAAGCTGCTTTGTTTGCTTTGCTTTGCAAGTCATCCTAACTTCATCTAACCTCGACCTTTGTGTTGTCTCAAAACTATGCATTGATGTGTGCTTTAGGACTAAACATCTCTACTTTGGTCTCGTCACTCCACAGGACATTATTCCAGAGGTCTAAGAAGTAGCTTTCTAATGGAAACCCTTCCAAACAAGTCATACTCTGTCTTTTTCTACTTTGAATCTCATGACTTTAATATTTCAAATTCTGACTGAGGACTATAAAGTATTGCAACAATGTTTTGGCAGCAAACTGCCAAAACTTCTGTTAATACAGGGGTTTTTACATTTGCTTATGATCAGTTAATCAAGTGTGTTTTGTTAGCTGCACTTGGCTGCTGCTTACACTCTTAACTCCTTTGTAACAGTTTAAGGTTTTGCTTGGTTTTTCACAGAACTGCAAAGAGTCCTGTGAAAACAGCGTTAAGACGGATCAACTCAGCCTGGCAATAGAAAACTTAAGATATGGGTACGATAATAGAGTGGCATCTGCTTTTGCTGACTTTTTTGCAGGGTGTTGTCACTTCCTCTGTGCTCATGTCAAAAATCTTGTGACATTATTTGGCTGGGGGGGGGGGGGGGGTAAATGGTAGGGCTTAACAGAGTTGAAAGCAAATTGGAGGTATGCAAATACTGGAATTTTATAGTGGAGTTAAACAATATGCATAATAATACAGTAGCACTAAAATTTCAGTGGTTATTAAATTTCGTATAGATCTGACGTTCAGTTAAATTAAGTTTCTTTAATTTCTTTCCAAATTAAAGAAATTTATTGAATTTATTTTTATATTTATCTTACAGTGAGAAAGTGTTTTTACTGATTGATGGCTTTAAAATGCATTTTGAGATTTCCTGCAGCTGAGAATCTTTGAAGTATGTTTGGAGGATTTGAAGGGCACCGCATTCAGAGAATCATCCGTGTATAGAGTGGTAGCCTTTGGAGGTGGAAAATGGAGCCCCCATATAGGAGCCCACAAGTGCGCTTCCTTGAAATTTGAGAAGGTTTTATCCAGTTTGAGGCTAGATTTTTTTTTTTAAAGTCAATGGTTTTTTTGCCAGGTAGCCCAGAAATTCAGCTCTTACTGTGGTGATTGCAAAGGCAGGAAAGGACTCTTGTTACTCATTATAAAAAACATGTAAAGCATGTTAAAGGACAACATAAAAACAGCTGGCTTTATGATTTACATATTAAAGGGCAAACTTATTTATCCAAAAGCATTTTGGATAAATAAACATAAGATCACTTTGCTCTTATGTTTTGAAGGATGTTAGTTAAAAAGTTTCAAACACACAGAAACCCGGATAAACTGATGTGGAACTCCTAAACTAATCATTATGTGAAACTGTATAAAACGGTCATTGATCTGAGTTGTCATGGAGTCTTTATTTGTGGGTTAAACATTTTTTAAGAGGAACAAGTTTCCACACAAAGTTTGATAAAGAACCTTGAAACTGAATAAGTAAAAAAAAAATAGAAAAACATGTAGAACAAGTTAAAACCAAAGAAAACAGGTGAATGTATGTTTCACATATTGAAAGAGGAAGGATAAAGTCCTGTTTTGTAGTCAAAACAATTTGAATCCTTAATTTTCTCTTTGTCCCTTATGTTTTAAAAGACAATACACAGTTTCAAACACACAGAAACATGTGAGAACAATGAAGAACAAACTTCTGAATTAACCATTATGTGAAACTGTGTGAAAGTTCATTGATTTGAGTTGCTGCGGAGTCGTTAAATAAGACGCTGAAGTGACTGCTGTTACTCATTAAAACTGAACAAAACACGTACAGCAGGTGCATTCACATTTCACTTATTACATATTAAAAGAGGAAGGGTAAAGTCTTGAGTCTCTGTGTAAATGTTTGTTGATTTGTGGTGTTGTGGAGTTTCTATGATACCAGGAACATGTTTCTATTAAAGAATACATGCCGGGTTATTTCAATTTGGTGGCTGTGGCTGCCACTGAGGACAGATGGAGCTGTGCTGTAGTACAGTTCATGTCATCAGTTGCAGATATGTTATAGTTTAGAAGCTGATGCTGAACAGTTTGGCCTTACAGTTGACTTGAATGACAGTTCTGATCTATGCAGACCCTAAAGTAATGTAATTAAACATATGAAGTGTCAAAACTGCTGTGCAAAAGCTCTATTCTTGGTACTTTGTTTTGCCAAAACATAAGAAAGAGGAGTAAAGATGATTCATTTAAATTACTGCACAAGTGTTACAGTTTAAAGTTCCCATTTGAACCCACTTATTTGGAATTACCAAGCCTGAACCATTCAGATAAGACAGGATGGGTCTTTGCTGTCACGTTGTTTACTCCAAATTCTAGCCCAATCTTCTAAATGTTTTGGGATTCAGAAGATACGTTTTCCAACCTTCTGATGTCCAATTTTAAATCCGTGCAAACTGTTGCCTCTGATTCCTGTTCAGCTCACAGGAATGGAACTTGTTCAGGTTTTCTGCTGCTGTAGTCCATCTGCTTCAAGGTTCAATGTGATTTTTGTGCACACCCCTGTTGTAACAAGTGATTTACTGTTGCCTTCCTATCAGCCCAAAGCAGCCTGGCTATTCTTTTCTGACTTCTGGCAGCAACACGGTATTTTCACCCTGAGAACTGCTGCTGACTGGATATTTTCTCTCTTTTGGACCATTTTCTAGAAGCCCAAGAGATGGTGGTGCAGGAAAATCCCAGTAAATCAGCAATTACTGTTCAATTCAGTTTAATTTAAATAGGAGCCAACTCAAAGGTCTTTATGTTGTAAGGCAGAGAACCTACAATAGAAATTTCTGAAATACTCAGACCAGCTAGTCAACACACCAGATTCAAAGTCACTTTAATCACCTTTCTTCCCCATTCTGAAGCTCAGTCTGAATGTCAGAAGACCGTCTTGACCATGTATACATGCTTAAATGCACTGAGTTGGTGTCTTATCACTGGATGATTAGATATTTGCATTAACGCACAATTGAACAGGTGTACCTAACAAAGTGGCCGGTGAGTGCATACCCAGTGGCTAATTGCTATTTGTGTCTGAGCAGTTTTTAATGTCATTTTCTGATAATATGTCCTGCTGGACTGAACCAAGGACTGAACCAAAAAATTGCAATCTAGCAACAAAAATCTTCATCTGAAATGTATATTTTCTGATCTTTATTTCTTAAACACATTCACATTCATATGACTAACAATAACGTTTATCTCAAAGGCACGGGTGTTTTAAACGATGGAGGGAAAAACGCTAAACTAGACCTTCATCGTGGTAAACTTTTCCCCCCTTTGCTTTTAAAAGGTAAAAAAATTACACTCATTGTGTATTAGCTCCCCTTGCTCTGTAATGTGGAGAGAGAAGCTGCTATATTGCTGGAGATTCTACGGTTTCTCTCACAGTCTTTGAAGATGATGGAGACAGAAAACAGTACAACCATCTTGTCAGAATGGACTAAGGTCTTTTGTTTCACATTCTGTTGTTGGTGGTAGCGTTGGTGAAGGCAGCTTCATTCATTTCTGTGTCCGAGTCTTAAAAGCGCGTTGAACAGATGATCTCAGGCAGAGACGTTTGGTCTTTAGCTGATTTCATGTCATCCTTCTGGGGTGGCTTGAAGGCACATGGCCACCTGAATCTGGAAGCAGATGAAAAGAGCTGCGTCAGTACGGCTGATTCTTTGTGGCTTTTTTTTTTTTTTTGCCTTTTTTGTTTTATATGGAAAACACCAATATTTTCTACATATTGCTAGGTCCATATATATTTGGACACTGACAAGTTCTATTTTTTTTACTGTTTTCTGAAACACGTTCCAAATATAGTTATATAATAGACATGGACATAATGTATAAACTCTCAGCTTTCATTTATGGGTATCCACATTCAAATTGGGTGAAGGGTTTAAGGGTTTCAGCTATTTAACAGGTGCTACCCTCTTTTTTAAAGGGACGAAAAGTAATTGGAGCCTTTGCTCAAAGGCTATTTCATTATGTCATTATCAATTAAGTAGATAAAACGCCCATCTGAGAAATTGCTAGAAAGACAGAAAGTGGTAAACAGTGGTGGATGATCGCAGGATTGTGTTAAAATGCTTTCGTTCCTCACATTTGCAATGCTTTGTTCAGCCCATTGAATTAAAAATGAAAGTCTGCACTTCATCTGCATCTGAGTTGTTTCATTTACAAACCTATTGTGGTAATGTACAGAACATTAGCACTTCAAATATGCCCCTGAAAACAGAACACAACCCTCAGTAAGAGCAGTCATAAGGTTGGACAGACTTACCTCTGAATTGCTTGCATCTGATCGATGGTGTCGGGAAGCGGCTCTCTAAAGGTCTCCGGAAGAAAAAAGCAGAGCACGACACTGACAAGTGAGAGAGAACCCACAAGCATCCACGGCAGGAACTCGTAGAACACAGCTGCGGACAAGACCAAAGCAGATTATACAAGATTAGTGAAGTCAGTCTTTGTCTGCTACAGACTGCATCACTAACCTGCAGGTCAGTTTACTAAGTTTAGAGACAGGTAGCTAAGCATTAAGGTTGGGGGTTTTTTTTAAAACTTATTTTCAACACACCAAGACTTCCCTTAAAGATAATCTGAACCCAAATATCTCACCCAGCTGCAGTAGGTATGGGGAAATAGAGGATCCCGCTCTGGAGAGCATGGCACAGGATGACATCACTGTATTTCTGATGACTGTGGGAGAGAGCTCTCCAGTGAACATGTACAAAATGCCCGTGCCAACCAGAACGCCAAATTTACCCAGCAGCACCAGGAACAGGGTGAGAGCTGGATGGCCTGGAGGGAGGGGAAAGAGCGTAAGCTTTTGAGGATGGAAACAAATTATTTAGAAACACTAACCAATAGTCAAAGAGCCTTCCCTCTCTTAAATGCCAGGCCAGATTTTCTATATATGTTATTTTCCAACAGCAGCATGCAGGTTGCAAACATTTAAGGCATATTTTACACATATTTTATAAATGCCCATGCTATACTATTGTTTGATCTGTGATTTTTGTCTGTTTTTTGGGGGTTATCATGCATAATAAAGCTTTTGAAGCTATAAATGACATGTTATTGTCGTGAAGTGAAAATCATAGTACACACACTTTTAGAAGGAGTACTAGGAGTATAAATGCACTATAACTTGGTCATGTTAGCCAGGTAGTTGGTGGTTGCTAGGCAAAATGTTGATGTCATAATATCTGATATAGATAAGAGCCTTTAAAGGCTTGCAGTGTACCTGTGTGTCAGTTTTGTGTATTATCTGATGAAGAGTGTTTTCGAGCACTACTGGCATATTGGCCCAGAGATGAACTTGTGACCTGTCCAGTCCTGCTTCTCACCAAAAAAGGCTCTTAAGAAAATCAAAGTTACTCTGGGGCTTGGCCAGACAAACAATTATGGGTTCAAAATATTTATTGTTTAGATGAATTAATGATTATGTTCACAAAGAGAGTGAGAAAAGTGCAACGGGGGAGTACTAGATTATAGTGGTCTCACTCACTGTGCAGAGTGAACTGGATGAGGAAGAGTGCTAGCGCCCCCAGCAGGAAGAAGCTGATAAAAGACAGGCGGCGGGAAAGCCTGCATGCACTTAGCCAGCTGACAGTGTATGCTGGTAGCTCAACAGCTGACAGCAAGAAGTAATTCAGGAAGGGGTTGCCATAGAGTGTAGACATATTGAATGACAACCCAAAATAGGTCACATGTGTAGAAAGCCTGCAAACAACAAGAGAACAAATTTTTTTTTAAAAAGAGAGAAATGAAATCCTGTTAGCATCACTGAGACGCTGTAATGTCGAATATATCAATAAACCAAAACGTCGGTGACGTAGAAACTTGTCCAGCTCACAATCTATCGCGATTCACAGGTTATGATTATTAAAACAGCAAATGTGATGTGAACCTTGACAACAATTTGCATGAAGACCCATTAGATCAGGGACGGCCACATACAGCCACATTGATCTGAACTGGGATGAACCAGGGAAGCACCTCTTTCGGTCAGTTCTGTACTAGTTCTGAAAAAACAGGAATTTTTCTATGTTTTGATTGTTATTGTTTACCTATTACTTAATTACTTGGGTGTTGTATGAATGACAACAGGGGGTGTGGTGTCTCTTATCAGTAGAGAAAAATTGTAAAACTTAAAATACAGTTAAAAGTCCAAAATGTCTGCCATCATTCACATTTTATAAAGTCATCCAATGGGCCACATTGTAGTCTTTGCAGTGCCAATTCTGGCTCTGAGGCCTTATGTTTGACACCCCAGAATTAGATGTTCATTATATGTAAGTTTAGTTAAATTCTGAACAATTCTGTAGGAGGAGGAGTGAGTCTTGTGAATTCTTGAGGGGCAACTGGATGGATGATGGATGCTTCATTACAGGATGAGCAATAGCAGGGTCCGTCAGCTGGAATAGCTAAAACTGCAAAAAAATCAAGTTTTCATGAGAATGGCACTAAAGGAAAGGTCACTGACTGTTCAAAGGGTTCAAAATACATCCTGATGATGTCAGCATGTCCAAAGACATGTTGGCGGACACAGAAGTCACTAGTAATGTCCTCCCTAGTAACCTTTAAAACATGGATTACTTCCTTTTAATGTTCTTGCTCCGGAATAATGAAACTATCAATTATGCTATACTCTAGTTAGCAAGAAATCAGTTCCTGAGAGCACCTGCAGAGGAGAAGGTTCAACTCACCAGAGAAACCAAAGTATGAGTGTGACACTTCGAATGCTTTTGGCCTTTAGGAGGTCCAGGAAATTGAGGGTCTCAGCCTTCTTGCTATCAGACTGTTGAACCTACAGTGACAGAGAAATGTCATTGCAGTGGCCACAATAGTTTACAGTGTGGAACAAAGTTGATGTCAGAAGCCCTTACATTTGCAGAGAGGAAGATAACAGGAGGAGCTTCCACTCCGTTCTCCAGAGCCGCTGACCTTAACAAGCGTTCTGCTTCTTGCAAACGGCCTTTAGACACTAGCCAGCGAGGAGACTCTGGAATCAGCCTGGTGGACAGACAGACACAAATCTAGATTGTCTGCAGTTCATCAGTCAAGTCATCACTTAGGTGAAAACACATCTACCTGAGTAGACGGAGACAGTGTTAATTATTCATTAAGTTGCTGTTGAAATATATAAGTTCAGAATTTATCTCAGAACAATAAGAACACCTGTAAAATTAGTGAAAATCTACTCCAAATAGGTGTAGATGGCATAGTCACGCTAAAGAAAGGTATAAAGTTTCACTTCAAACACGCATTTAGTGTTTGCTTAGTTGATCCACAGTAGAAATACAACATCCATGCTGAAAATAAATGAGCAGGAATGTGTGCTAGACGTCAGCGGGTTTGTCTTGAGTCTACAATCCTGTTTGCAGTATTCATGATCAGGATCTGAGCTGGGGCAATGAGGGTCCACTCCTTTGGTAGATAATGTGATCAGAAGGTCACATTCATTATAATATTTGCAGCCGACTGTGAAGTGGCTGGGATGACTGAGACCATGCTTCAGTTCCATTTTGGTGGTTGTTTGTCTTCAAACTAACTATTGCTTTCTTTGGGTATTTCTCAATCTAGAATACAAGTGATGGGAACATGGACAAGTGCATTTGTGTGGGCTCACTTGTAAAATGTGTGTTATGTCAGGTCTTTGTAGTGAACAGAGAGTGGAGCCAGAAGACTTTGGTTTACCAGTTTATCTATGTTTGCACCTTCAACTATGAAAACAAGTGTGACTGAAAGAATGGGTAAGAATGCAAACACACCAAACCCATTTTCTGAACTTTAAAGGGTTTGCCCCCTTTAATGATCTCATACAGCAAAATCCAGTTTTGCAGAAATGAGCATCTAACATGGCCTTCTAGGCACGCCCAGCATGAAGGAGACCTAGAGAGATTACATATCTCTTTTGTCTCAGGTTCCCCCAACAAGGAAGCAAAAGGACATCTGGATAAGTGGAAGAAAGTGATGGATCTATGGATGGATGACGAACAGACACTAAGCTACACATTTAGCTTAATGTTGGTGTTAAGCATCAGTGTTGGACAATCGTACATGTTTTCGGTCAGAAAGAAAAATCTCATGATAGGCAATGAAAATGACCTAAAATACTTTTTACACTGAAGCGCATTTACACAAATTCCTCAACATTCTGTCTATCGCACACTCTCCATTAAGTCTAACTCTGAAAATGTCACCAGCAAAAAAAAAATCTTAATAGTGTAGTGAGGTCATTTTACCACCAGAGGGGGAGGCTGGCCAGCCCAGGCACGGCCATTAACAGCGACAGGTGTTTCCAGTTTCTGAGCAAGTAGGCAGTAGCAGGAAGCAGCATCATACCAAATACATACATGAAAGGTAAACACATGCTAGAGTAGAGAACTCTAGATGAGCCAGCGAGGATCTCTGAACCTGTGGAGAAATTTCACAAGAGTGCAGAAGTTGTTTTTGTTTTTTGTTTTTGTTTTTGCCTGTCCCGTTTGGCTCTTTTGCCATCAGAATTATTGTCTAAAGGCGAAGAAAGATGCCCAACGGATTTACTTTACCAAATGGACCATCCCAGTCTTGCCGTAATGGTCTATTTGATTCACTTTTTATTGTTTATTTTATTTTATTTTCACTTGCTAAATACGGGACAGATTTGACTGGGGAAAAGAAAGGAGAGAAAGAAAGAGGGAAAGAAAAACAGCGGGGAAGAGGGACGTGGATAAAGGGCAAAAAACAAAAACCAACAAAATAAGCAGACAAAAAATACATGTCACGGCGGGGTGCGCCGGTGTGAAGAATGAGGTAGACCCAAGAGCAGACACGGTGGAGACAGAACTGGGTTTCCAAAATAAGGCAAGCCTTTATCGTGGCTGAAGGCATGACAAAAACACAAGGGAACACTGAAACTGGGAAAACTAAGAAGACAGAGAACACTGTGTAAACTAAAAAGGCTAAGACACTCTGTGAAGGAACTATGGAAAAACTATAAACACAGAGTAACTAAGCAGGCTATGAAACACAGTGTCACAATAAGGGAAACTACAAAAATACAAGATGAGGATAACAGACAATCTGACACTGACACAAAGACACACTGGGCTTAAAT